ACCAATGTGTTATTAAAAAAGGAAAATAATTTTTGAACCCCTGTATTTCACAACAGGCAACTAACACCTAGCAGGGAAGCTTCTCATTACCTCTTAGTAGTAATAAACTGCCTTCCAATTAACAGGTTTATTTCTTTTAAATCAGCTAAGAGTTGATGGGATATCAGGCTGAGTAGCCACAGAACCTTCCATCTGACACTAAATGCACACAATATGTAGGCTCTGCTGGCTAACCTGGATGCTGGCACAGCTACACTTGAGCAGGACAGCACGGCAGTCTGCTCTCGGCAAAGGACACCTGCCATCACTAGAACTGTCAATCGCTGGTGTAACTACAAYTTTGGGTCCAACAAACAGAGCCATTTATAACAGCCTCTGGTTAGAAACAGTATAGGCTATTGCACTTTCAAATCTACTACAAAACTACACCCTGCTCACCGAAAAAAACAAGGGGGGGTAAGAATTGTTTCAGTTGCCAGACCATCTGAATTTAAATTTGTGCCAAAGAAATGTAGTTTTAAAGAGTTTACTGTCAGTAAATACACTCATTTTCTGATTCCACATGGCTGAATCAGTCTAGCATAATATAAAATACTAACAAAAAACAGAACAGTTTAGTAGAATTTCATTTCACTTTGAACAAATTTTCCAAGTCACCATAAATATATTGATACCAAAATAAATACCTTTTCCAACAGCAGCCAGTTATATTTTTAAGAATTAAATCAGATTGCAATTAAAGCTAGCCACACATCTCATACTTCCCCAAATCTTTCAAATTAATGTTAGTCTAGAAGCCATTTAATGCCTCTGGCAGATGGAGACGGGGAGAAATCAAGAAAACAAGGATAAAATATTGGCTCTATTTATCAATTCAATATAAATTTTGTCTTGGTTATCATACTGATTTTCTTTAATATCTAGCAATATCTATGCATTTCAACTGAGAAATTCAATTAGCCTTGAAATTATGATGCAGTCAAAGCATTTACATACTACACTTGCTGCAGCACACCTATGCCTAAGCCATAAYCAAGGGTGTAAAGCAGGTGAGTGAAGGCTTTTCCTCTGCTCTGTTTCCACCACAGGATGCCAGTGGGGAAGCAAAGGCAGTTTGAAGCAGGAACCGACGACCCTGCAAGCCTTTGCCCTGGCAACCTCCAATGGAAGAGCTACTCCTAGAAATCTTTCCTTCATCGCTCTCCTAAATTCCTTTTCTCTTCATCTCATAACAATGAGCCTGGGCCAGCATTTTATGTTGCTGTATTTTTTAAACAAGCTGCAAAAACAGAACTCTCTGATTTCTATCTCCCTCCGAACCCTGAAACTGGGTTAAAATGTTAAAATAAAAATTTTAGCACATCAGATTAATTTGTCCTTCTTCCACTGTAGATGTTTCTGATGTCCCCCTTTCAGCTTAGCCAACTACTCAGCTTTTTCTTCATATTATTCTTTTCTCCACCTTTTTATCCTTTTCATTATCAAGCCTCCTTAGAAAACTTCATGTTGCAACTGACAAGTTGATTTAAATGCATTAATATGTTAGTAAATAATGAAAAACATCTACATGAAAACAACAAAAGCAAGATAGTATCTTTTTGTGTTCAGGTGACTGCAAAATCGTCTCTGAACTTCACGCCACTGCTGTGGTCTCCCACCACTGGGAGGTAAATCCATATGGACTGTCGTAGCAAAGAATTTCTACCAGCWTTCAGCATATCCACATCATGCAACAGCATGCAGCTTCAGAGGTTGATATTAATTCTTAAAGAATCACAGAATACACYACTAGAAGTGCAGTTTGAAAAAATATTAGAACAGATTTCACACATCTATTTAGTTTTACAAAACAGAGATGAAAACACAGAAAACAGGAGTATTTTAAAGGTCATGTGAACTTCTTATTTGGTTAGGAACAAATTGKTTTTTTTTTAATTAAAAACCTAACATATATTCAGCTTTGCAGCTTGTAATACTGAGAAAAGTCCACTATCTGGCACAGTGCTCGCTCCTTTATGTGCTCAAGGAAAAACAAATGTAAGTCCTTGCACATTTTCTCTTTCTAAAATTTACAATACTCAAATCCAAGAACTGCTTCTGACTTTCACTGTATATAAGCAATCTCACACAGTTTTACTTGGTGCCTAAACTTGGCCCACAAGTATGATTTTCCTGCTGAAAATACRCAAATCAAAAACATGAAGTCTGCTTTGCACATTCATGCACTAATTTTTGAGAACAAACAGAAAAGCATTTTTAAACTTGCCAGTTAAGCAAGCTTGACACAGTGTTGGGAGGAAAGAAACCTGCAACAAGCTTACGATGTTTTCCACATTAGACAGACACTTAAAGCATAATGATGTCATCTTGGCCCCACCAAAGTCAGCACAAAAGCTGCCATCTACTACCATGGAAGCCAGAGATTTTACACCCTCCTAAATACCCCAGATAAGTGAATGCCAGATCTCACAGATTTGCTTTACCTGCAAAAATGCAAGTCTTCTTGCTCAGTCTTCAAAAAATCTATTTGATGGGCTTGCACACACAGGGCAAACAGACTTTTAGAAAACAGAAACTATTGAAACCTTCTGACCCAGTCTGATGCATAAACTCAGCCTTCCACTCACACTGGTCGCTTTAAAATAGTTTTGACTTGATACTGTCAGGACTCTAAACCTTAAGGGTCAGTCACACAGATGTTATACACAATGACCAGCTTTTTAATTATTATTTTATAAAAATAAGTTTTCTGTATGGCTAATAAAGAGTGGAAGAGAAAGAAGCATCTGCACATATGCTACTTTTTTTTTCACCCAGCATCTAACAGACACAAAAATAGGTTAGGCTGCATTTTGTCTGACTGTATTAATAAAATKGGACAAACCATGACTATCTCTTTTGGACATATTAACAATCTTTAAAATATAAACAAGTAATGATTTTTTWAAAAAAATTAAGGCAGGTTTTGAAAGGCCACAATTATTTCTGTATGGCTAACGGAGAGTGGAAAAGTAGTATCTGCACATAAGCCTTTGTCCTCTCTCTTTAAGTGAGTGAAGCAAGACCGAGCTGGTGAGGTATAAGGTTAATTTAAAAGTCACTGGATCAATCTGAATAAATTAAAACAAACATTTTTTTAAAAGACTGAAAATAGTGTAGCCATGACCTTGATTTATCATAGCTTAATGTCTGGYAAATGCCCCTCAAAACACATTTAAGAGACATGGCTTGTGTTCAGAAGAAGATACAGGTTAAACCATGGTATGACAAAAGCAGGTGTATGAAGAACATGTACGAAGAAAGCAGCTGCAGGCTGCTGAAAAACTAAAAGCAAGGTAAAATGAACACCGTCAGGTAAACATTTAGTCTGATCAAATAATGGCCCATCATGAATACTAATCTACTTTTGACAGTGGTCTGATGCTTCTGATTATATTWAAAAAAATTCAAAATCATTTTAATGCTTCCATACTAGTGACTGAGTATCTAGTGGTCCATGACATGGCAACTTGTGATATTCACAGATAATGCATTTCTGTTTACAAGTCCTCATGGAATTTTTTCATTTGTTCTTATATCCAGGTTTACTTTTACTTCACCCAGCATCTAACAGACACAAAAATAGGTTAGGTTGCATTTTGTCTGACTGTATTAATAAAATGGGACAAACCATGACTTTCACTTTTGGACATATTAACAGTCTTCAAAAAATAAACAARTAATAATTAAAAAAAAAAGGAGGTTTTCGAAAGGACACAAAAGGAAGAATGATAAAGAAAGCAAAGGTTCAGAGTGGAAAATTAGCCCAGGATAGACCCTGACACATCTTCCAAAACTCAGTTTTAGCAAGCTGAACAGCTTCAACTAACTTATTTCCATGAGGGGAGGGAGAAAAAAGAAAGGTACGCAGACATAGGGCTCGGCAAAGTYGAGGAATAGGGAGACAAAAAAAGCATATAAAACCAAACACAACTCTCCTTCCCTATGGCAACAAATAAACAAACACAGCCCCTAACTGCAAGGATTAATATTGTAATCTAAGATAAATTTTATGTGTGGGAAAAACAAAATCACAAAATCACTACTCTACAGTCTACTAAAAGTAAGAACCAAATGCAGCTCATTATATACATACTTATACACATATTTTTGAATTCCTGACTTGAAATCTCCCTCCTCATTTTCCAAATACTGCTGTTACTTCTTGTGCATAAAACTGTGGCACAGGGGTGAAAAACAGGGATCTTTCTGTATTATATTGAAACATCAGCTGGATCACCCTTTTCAAACAAACACTCTATAGAAAAAATACTATCCCAAACAGGGGACAAAAATACTGTTGGAGAGGAARAATGTCAGCATAACAAGAAGATGAAATTTAACCTTTGAATATAACCTAATATTGCCACGAAGGTGAAAAATATGGAAAGCTACATATCTGCAATCCCACTGCCTGCAGCCAATGACAGGAACTGGGCTCTGACGTGGAAGGAAAGTGAAGGAACAGAATTCGAGACAGTATTTTTCTTCTCCTAATTTGTTATAGAGTTGTCAAAACTGAATAGTCTTGTGTTCAGAAATAACTCCACTGATAACTGTAACTCACAGAGGGGATAGTCTAGACTGCTGCAAATATTAAGGCATGCATGATATCATCTTATTTTTTTTCCTCCTCCTTTTCAAGTTAACATTGTAGGAACCATGCTCAGAGGTGAATCCAAATTCTTCTGATCCATGTATAATACATGCTAGGAGCTGCTCTTTTTTGAAGGTTGGGGATGCAGGGGAAGAAAGTTGTGGTGGCACTTTTCAAAATTAATATATTTYATCTGTGGTGTTTCATATATCTAAATTAAGATTGGGCAGAACAAGTCGTGTTTTAAGTCTTAAATTAAGAATCTATTGAGAGTATAAATAATTTTCTTATTTGACAATTTCTTGAAATATAGACTTGACAAATAAGATGTGGAGGAAACAYGGCCCCTCCTTGGCCTGCATACCTGTGTCACTTCCAGATCCAGTTGATAACGCTGGCATGGTTTAGCCTGCAGTGTCACACAGAAACCCCAAAGCCGCACTGCAGCCAGAAGGCAGAAGTTTATTTCAGTTTAACTGCTTGCAGCCGAGTTGTCTACTAAGATTTATGTTATCTAGCTTCTCCTAGAAAGAACAGAAACAGAATTTTACAATTAAGAGCATTGTTAAACTGTGAATTACTGCAGCTAACCAAATACAATAATTATAATGAAATAAGCTTTTATTTAAGATTCTCAAAACAAACTCCTTTGCATTCATTTATGACTTAAGATTTTTGTTCCCCCAGGTAAAACAAGTTTTGTTTTCTTCATGCTGCACTAAGGATAACTTAACACATTTCTCTCATTTAAATTATACTCTTYAACTCCAGCATGTCAGGCTTTTTGGAAAGAAAGTCTTAGGGAATTAATTATTGAAACTGTGAATAATTGAGATCATTCAAATTTTGCCAGTGCTTATCTCAGGAAAATAAAATTCCTTACTAGCCACGATAATTTATTCGGTGTTTCTATTTARCCTCCTTTCAGTTGTTTCCAGGTCATTTAAGATTTTTATTTGTATTCTGGAAATATAATCTAAATTTCAACTGAAGTTGTAAAAAGTATGACTGAAGTAAATACTTTTTTAACATAAATAGCAGTTTGCTTCATGGAGTTGATGGAGCCATTACCATGTAAGGAATTTTTTCTGTGATTCATTACTACAAAGTCAGTGTTATTTTAACACATTTTTTAATAATTGTATATRTCTACCAATAGTAAATTTGGGGGTCTTTCTTTTAGCCACTTCTAGAGGAAAATTCAGAGCACATGTGACGAAAGTTAAAACTGATCTCAAATATAAATGAACATATTTGAATTCAAGCATGTTAAAATATGAAACTGGAACGCAAACACACAAAAAGAAATTCAGAGTTAAGACAGCAAATGTCTACTTAGASCAAGGTAGGGACTGATGTATTTGCAGGGGGAAGGAAGGGAGAGGGGGAAATAGWAGCTAGCAGAAAATAAGGGATTTTTTCCAGATTTCAGTAAACAAAAAGGATCCTTGAAGAAAGAAAGCAGCATAGTTCTGCTTTAGCGAAAGAAAATAAACAAATAGAAGAGTATTTTGCTGCTGCTATAGCTGCTTTATTTCTCGTTGTTTTTTTTTAAAACACATTCATATTAATCAGAATGACTTTTGAAGTCATCTTGGCTCTTAAAGTGCATATTTTGGACCCATTTTAACTTGGCAACAGTCTTGTGGAAGAGTGATATACAGGTGCTGTAAACAGTGTATGCTGCTCAAAATTTTGTTTTTCACAAAAAATAATCCCCACATGCTAAAAGTATTACGACATATTGAGGGCGATCGACAAGATTTTATTAAGTTTTAAATCAATTATTAGATATAAGCTAGTTGTTAACTTATCCCTAGGCATAAGCCTACGGTTTCTGGCAACATTTTTAAGTATGGGGTTTTTATGTCCCCCAAGCGTTTACCTAGTGAATCTGGGTGGTTTTGTTAAGAAGGCAAATTGCAGCAGAAGTCACCTCCCTAGACAACTTATTCTATGATGAAAAGCACCAAATAAAAGCTTACATGCTTATCTATTGTTTTGGGGTTCAGGATTTTTTTAGTTATAGAAGTTTATGAAGAAAAAAAGTAAGTTATGAAGAAAAAAGGTAAGTCTTCAGTAAAAAACAATCAGCATAAAAAAAATTGACATCCATCAAATCAGCACAAAAAGTCCATTAACTTTAAATTTAAAATAYGGATAAGGAAATTAAGTATTCCAGAGTGAAAGCTCATCATATGATGACAAGAGCTGTAAAACATCTACATGTAAAGCTAGCCAGGGTGAAGTTTAAAAAGGAAAAAAAAAGGCATCGTAGCCAAGGACACGTTGTACCAATTAAGAAAGAACATATTCACTTTACATTAATTCTGCTTGTTTTCTGTTTAACACATAAAGAAGGAGTCCTGTCCCAAACTCAGCGACAGTCCCCAGCGTGAGCACACCACGGCAGCCCTATGAAGGATGGAGGCATTTTTATTTWAATTGTGTAAGAAACTAGTTTAAATAAAATTATTGGTTATAAATGGAATATCTGAATTATATGCATTCTAAAGTGCTTTCATCTATTAAAAAGAAAAAAAATCATAACTGAAAAAACCCAAAACCAACTAAACAAGGCATTCTCATTACGAACACACTACTATTAATCAGAAATTCAGGTTCCTTAGAAAGAGTTCACTGCAAAATGCCGAAAATCTTGTTGATCCACATACATGCGATGTATTTCAACTCCATCAGTTTCATTACTTTTCTTTATTTCACAGTAAATCATTCAGTACAAAAAAATCAATCTCGTCATTATTTAAGAAACTTATATACAGCATAAAGTTATTCCCCCCAGATCCTAAATATATATTAATGAAAAATAAATGACCTGATGAAATCCTTACCAGTAAAATGCTTAATATTTTGCTGGAATGGGATGGGGATTTTTTTTTCCCCCTAACGTGCAAATTAAGCTACATTTTTGCAGTRATGATGCTATTTTTTTTGGCTCACTTTGTTTAAAATGCTTTGGAAGTTTTTGCCGGAGCCCAGCCATAGGCACTGCTGACTGCTGTATGGAATCGATTTGCTGCAACACAGAAATACCAGCTGTTACAGTATGTCCTGAGAGGGATTACCGAATATTCCTAAATTGAAGTTCAATCCATCTTTCCATAAAAATTAGGAGCCAGGGCCAGGAACGTAACAGCAGTATCAAGTGCACCTGAAGCATTTACAATACCCAGCAGGACTGTTACAACCAGCCTTTAAAAAGGGCTTATTTTTGAAATTTCATTATTCCAGTTGTACCTTGCTTCTATAGCTCGCACCGTATCGGGTTCTGCTGGCACCCGCCGTGTGGAAACAGCGACGCCCGCCCGGCCCCTCACGGCTCCTCCCGCCTCCTCCCGCCTCCTCCCGCCTGCCCCTCACGGCTCCTCCCGCCTGCCCCGCACGGCTCCCGCCTGCCCCTCACGGCTCCTCCCGCCTGCCCCTCACGGCTCCTCCCGCCTGCCCCTCACGGCTGCTCCCGCCTGCCCCTCACGGCTTCTCCCGCCTGCCCCTCACGGCTTCTCCCGCCTGCCCCTCACGGCT